CCTTAGTCAGGGGGAGCACGTGTCCCCCCAGTGACCAGTCAGCAACCGGGAGGCATCCCCCCATGGCCAATCCCCCCACTGACCAGAGTGGGGGTCCCACCACGGCAAAACTCACCGACTAGGAAGCAACCGTGGTTGTCCCAGAAGTGGCTATAGTGCTCCCACCTGCTCCCCCACCCATCGTCTAAGCAGGGAGCACGGCCTGTCAGGGAATGCACCAGCACTCTCAGGGGGGTGCATGTGCATCCCCGTGCACCCCTATGTGTCACTACTGCCTGCCAGTCTCTGTCATTAATTAATATGTTGCCTATACTTCTCTAGCAGCTACATTTTGACTATGGCATTGTTTTTAAGAACTACAGGAATCTTACTTTAAACTTCCATAGTCATTTCTAATGTACTATCAGGACATGATTTACCCTTGTGAAATATCTAAAACTTCCCATTCAGCCAGAGAAGGAAAGATAAAGTGAGAAAAGAGGAGATATCTAGCTACCCATTAGAGATGACACAAATAAATATTCCCTTAGAATGCACAGAATGAATTGAAGTCAAAGGTGAAAAAGCAAAATGGAAAGTTTATCTGTGTATGGAAATGATTTTCTGACAACCACCCTTAGAACATCCACTGTGTTTGAAAAGACACACAGTTTGAAGAGTTCTCTTAATTTAATTTTTGGTGATTATCACATAACATTCTTCATTTTTGGCATTTTCATTATCTGATAATTTTCAGTAGCTCTTTACTGCCTCATAAACTGGTCTCATTGGATGATATTACCTCATATGTTCCAACACTGCTACTTAGAATACTTGAAATGCTTAGCGTAAAATAAATTTCAATTTCTATATCTGACTGAAATCCTTTGGTATACAGTTCCTCACTGTGGAAAGCATAACAACCCTGTTCACGGCAACAGCATTAATTTATGGCTATTTGGTATAATAATACAATTATATTTACAACATTAATTATGCTTGTGTGTGTGTGTGTGTGTGTGTGTGTGTACATATACATATATATACACACACACACACACACACACACACAGTAAAAGCTGTGTTATCTGGCATCCCCTGGGAATGGGGGATGCCGGATAACAAAATATGTTGGTTAATTTAGTGGCTCAGGCCACTGCTTCTCCCATCGTGTCTGGGGCATCCCACCACCCCTTCTGCTGCATTGCTGCCCCTCCCACAGTCCCTGTGGGACAGGGAGGCAGGCTCTGCACAGCCCTGTGCACCCTGTTATGCCCCTGGGCCATGGGGACTCAGCAGTGCAGGCCACGGTGCCACGGTGGGCATTTCTGGCTTCACTTTTCCTTACAAGTCAGCATGCCAGTAAACAGAGCATGCCAGCTTGTAAAGTGCTGGTTACCAGAGAGTTTACTCTGTGTGTGTGTGTGTGTGTGTGTGTGTGTGTATATATGTATATGTGTGTGTGTATATATATATATATATATATATATATATGTATATATATAAAACCTGAATCAAAAATGTCAAAATGTTTCATAAGCATTAATTCAGTAATATAAATAACAGTGATGTGAGGTATGAATTATTATAACCTTTATGTTTTCCTTAATTCCACAGTGGATAGCCACAGAGGACTGTTGGAAAAGGAAAGTGGCTAATTGAGATGTTCCCTCCTTCATACACTCATATTTTCCCCATACTCTGCAGCAAAATAATGGATACAGCCAGAAGTAAAGAGCTATGCTAACATGCTTCCTTAACTTCAGATTGTGACTGAGTTGCAGGAAAAACAGAGGAACTTTAATATAGCCATGTCCTGTGCAATATATTCACTCCCCTGAGTCACAGGGTACATCTACAACATATATGCTTTACTACAGAGCTGACTAATTAGCTCCACAATAAAGCATCATTAAATAAATTAACTATGCTGTAGGGTAGTACCGTCTGAGACAAGCACCAAAACATATATGTAGATGATGACCGGGGCTGGCTGGGGAATGAGAGTGCTACAGTGCAGGGTCTGCTGCCTGTTTGCTAGCCCTGCACTATAGCACCCTTGTGCCCCAGCCAGCTCCTCCGCAGCACACTGTGCTGGGGAGGAACTGTACCGGGCTGGCAGCTTGATCCTCTGGGCCCCTGCCAGCCAGGGCTGCTCCATCCTGGCTCAACATGCTGCAGTCCGAGGTGCACATGTAAATGTGGCACCTAGGAGTAAAAAACTCTGGTGCAAATTGTGCTGGAGGTTATTCCTACATGCTAATTGCACATGTAGATGCACTCACAGAGTCGTCGTCTTCTTTTTTATGGCTGATGTAGATACAGAACAGCAACTATAATTTTACATTTAGGTGGCTAAGCCAGAAAATTGTCTCAGGAGCAGCAAAGTGTATTGCTATGATACTGGCTTCTTATTTGTGGATTGGGCATTGAGTTGTTAATTGTTCCATGGTCTATTCTGGCTGACCACAGTTGCACATGGGAGAGTTTTTAATTTTCCATTGGTGTATCAAGAATCTGCATCTCCCATGGTTTCTGCAGATACAGGTTAGAGTTGCCCATGAGCGTCACAGGAGATCAAAGCCAGGGATCTTCTGCATTGGCTCTAACACAGAATGCAAAAAGAGCTTGGAAGCTGATGTTAACATTTAGTTGCTGTCCTACCATGGCTACTTGAAGGGATGGGAAAGAAAGAGTCCACAAATCTGGAACCATATAGATCCTAGAACTTTGAGTGCCTTTTCAAACTATCTTATATGTTGTGTACTTGCTTGTTCCACAAAACAGAGAAGAGTGTTTATTTTAGCAGCAGTAATGAGAATGTGGCCCATGTCTTCCTGCATAAACATACCACTTTTATAAACTACCAATTTTAAGGTAGTTCTTATTCAAGGGATAAAAGGAGCCCCTTTCTTCTCTGTGTAGCTCAGTGAAACAAGGGCATAATCTAGCTCTTAATAGGGAAGTGGCATAAAGATAGCTGCTGAGTGGTGTGGAATAGGATTGTGTTCAGTGATTCCAAGATGCTTAAAAACTATTTAAGTGTCACTTAGATATCTTAGAGGCAGAACAGGATATGGACCTGTATGTTTTCAGAGTCATACTGTCCAAGAGTCATCTTACTGATAAATCATGTCAAGGTTATTTCTACGCATTAAACTAGTGCTATGAACTTCCTGTTCCTACTGGGTTCTGTGATGCTATGCTGGTTTGGACTAGAAGCTCAAAGCCTCATTTTATTTGGCTGAAAAGCAGCAGTGCTACCAACAGAAGCAGTCTAAAAATAGCCAAGTGAATATCATATATTCTACTTAGGTAGCACAGAGTTACTTTTCTAAGAAGTGTACCAGACTTAACCACAGTCCCCTTTTTAAATGTGATGGTTGGTTAAAGAAGAAAATGAAGCTGCTTTTCTAGACAGCCGCTTTGTGGAACTTCATGCATTTTCCATAGCTTTCAGATATGTAGCTTCCTTTTGCTGATTTTTAAACAAGCAATATTTCAGCCCGATTGAAACTTAGAGGGATGGTAATGAGATGCCATAAGACATTCTGCCCAATTTGTCCTGCAGGGAAGTCTGGATAGTACAGTCTTGAAAGTCAAGCAGCATAGTAGTTTTTACTCATTTGGCTGTTCCCACAGTCCTGCTATAATCCTGTGTTCTGAATACTACATAGGGAATAAAATACAGCTTAATATTAAAATGCGCTGTTGTGGCTGGTACCTAAAAAGGATAAATTATGGCATATTTTACTAACAGAATGTTTACTACATGCTCAGCATTAGTTTGAGGGATTGAAGTCTGTGGAGGTACCTGCTATTAGGAAGCAAAGCATCAGGCATTTCCTTGGCCAATATCACCATGAAAAATGAAATGGGAGCAAAGGCCTCTACATTTACTATGCAGCTGTAATTTGACCAGTCAAAAGAACAAAAGATATAACCGTCTGTCATGTAATTAGGCTCCTTTGTGATTAGAAAGGAGAGAGTAGAGAGAGCATTGAGGAGTCTTATTTATAGCTGAAACAAGATCAGGAAGAAGCTTCTTCTATTCATCTTCCACTCAAGATCAATTAAGCATATTTTGATCCCTTGAAAGGTCTTTTGTGAAGCTGTCTTGTATTTCCATGACTTCAGATAAAATGTCTGTCAAACATTATCTTGAAAATAGCTGAAAAGAAAGCAATGAAAAACAGTCAGCTACTCCTTGGGAATTGCTCCTATAGCAGTTATTTCAAGATAGTCTTGCTCACTGAAGTCTGAATATTATTTGCACTACTGATTTGTATATACAATATTAATTTTAGAATCTCTCTTATACAATGACAATAACTTTCAACTTGGCTAAAATCTCAGTCGGGTACAGCAGTATTACCAGAGAGAAAAAAGAAAAACAAACTGCGGACTAACTTTAGTCACAGAATTGATTCCAAAAATATTAAGGATATTTTTTCAGAAACAAAATGTAGGATTCATTCATCACTTGATTATACCACTGAGCTACACTGGTATAATATCAGTGCAACAAAATTGAAAAACAAACCCAAGAATTACTGACACAAATGAAAACCAAGGATTGGTAGATAATATCTATTTCTTGGCTTTATTAGAAGTCATCTGAGCTAATTTTTTTGACTTCCCAATAAAGTTCTTTATTTAGAAGAGAGAAGGGAGAATATAGAAGTCATCAATGGAACCATGCATTCCAAAGATGTGTCAATCCATGATTGGTGTCGTGGAGAGTACTGTGGTGTAATGGATTCCCATCAGATGTGTACCAGGAACTTCAAAGCAAATATTCTGATGCATGCCTAGGCTCAGAGGGTAGCCCTTGGTGATTCCCCATAAATGTATGTATGTGTAACAATTTTGCTGTTCTTCACTAGGGTTGCTAGAAACTAAAAGGTGCAAATACCATGGGTCCAGTAACTTTACATTGCAAATAAATGAACACCACCAACAGTACTCATCATTCCTAACCTCACTTGTAGAAGCAGACAGAACAAAGATAACAGACTCAGGCTGGATCTGTAGGATCACTCTGCTGTGGACGTGCTGCTATATCAATGCCACCTGCTCCCAGGTTGTTTATGCTGTATCGTTCTGTTGCAGCCCTGATTGCTCCTGACAGCCACCGGCTGCCTTCCTCCAAGCTCTCGGGATGCTTGCTAGACAGCTGAGGAAAGAAGCAGTTCTGGAGTCAGTTTATCTCAATCCTGCTGCTTCTCCTTGAACACAACATTTCTCATGAACCTGCTTCTTCTTAATCTCAAGGTGTTCTCCTGCATCCTAGGGATTAAAGATTTCTCAACTGGTGAGATGCTGCATAACCAATCCTTTCTCTGCAGAGCACCTGGGTCAGAAGTAGATTACCTAATCATGAGCACATTAGTTCATTATAGAACAATAAGAGAATTATGGATTGCAAAGTGCATGCCTAGTTAGTTGGAGCAGATACTGTTTGGATGAATGTTTTAAAAGACATGTTTAAAGCCTGACTTTGTAGCTACTCAAACATCAGTGGTAATTCTGGATATGAAAGACTTGGGTTAAGCCACAATAATAGCACGATAATTTCTTAGATCCTTACCCTGAGACCCTGAAGAATGTCCTTATTTTATAGCAAATTCGAAGATTTCAGTATAATTCTGCTCTTGCATTCTTTGCTTAACATTTTAAAGAACTATAATAGCCTGGTTGATTATAATAAAAAAAGCCATAAAACAATGAAAAATGAATACAAAAATATAAATTGAGGAATTTGTCCTTGAGGAAATATTCAGATCTACTTGATATATATTTAATTAAAGTGCTTCAAATGTATTTGAGCTCTTCAAAATAATTCAAATTACATTATCTAAAATGCCCACTGTACAAATGTTAACACTACATTTTCTGGAATTTCTTAATTGCAGAAAGGATACTAATAATACCTTGTTAAAGCAAATGCCTGTCTCAAAACTAAACTGATTTCTTCCCCTGCTCTCACTGCTGGTTTTTACTATGTACTATTTTAAATCTTTGTCTTCAAGTCTTATAACAGTGTAGCAGTATTGAGGAAGAAGGATCAGTCAGCTTTGGAAGTGCCTTCATAAATGCTTCTTTTTATCAGAGCTTATTGCATCCCTTCATTATTCTGATAAAGGAGAGCTTTGCTGAAGGATCACATTCAGCAGGATCACCTCTGTAAATTAATGCAAAATGAATCATCTATGTAGATTATCTACAAGAGTGTGCACCTGCTAGCAAATTTCTATCTTCAGTGAATCTTGGGTGGTGGATTAAATTATTTCATTCAACCAAAATATTTCCCTTAAAATATCCCACTTGCAAATAAATTAAATAATCAGGGCATAGAAAGTATTGTACTTTGAAATATTGCATCTGCAATCTAGTGAAGGATATTTTTCTCAATTTCTCCTTAGAACAACAAGGATACCATTATCTCTGCATCTTTACCATTCTTGAGATTTTTGGGCCTTCAAAGTCATGGAAGTTCTGATATTAAGTTCAATGGGATCAGGATTTCATACTCCTTCACTATGGATAGATGCCTACTAGAGCTGTGTGAAGTTTTGAGTGGTGAGCCGATTCAGAGGAGATTCAGCGGCTGAATCTTCAAATCCGAATCGAATCAGGGGACCAATTTAAAGGTCTGAATCAATTCAAAGCTTTCCGAATCTTTGGCAAAGATTCGGAGAGCTCTGATGATTTGGGCAGTCGCTGGTGGCTACAGCAGGGAGCTGTAGTTGACTCCGAGCTGGTAAGTACTAGGGGCAGGGGAGGGGGGGCTGGAGGAGGGGGCCATGGGGGGACCCCTGCCTGCCTCCCGACCCCCCTGCTCCCCCATAGCTGCCCTGCCTGCCGCAGCTCCCACTGCTTTAAAAAAAAGCCCCAGTGTTTACTGGGTGCTGCCAGGCAGGGGGCAATCCCC